TAATCTCAAAGCCTATACTAAGAATATCTCTATTGTTCTAGACTTTCTTTAGAAAGTACACCTCTTCTGTTCTCTAAAGAAAACCTCCTTGTTCTGTTCATCAATTGATTTCTTAGGTTATTAAATAGATTAGTAAGGTATACATACAGACCCTACTAAAACTGAGAAGATTATACAATAGTTAGTACTATAATCTTCTTTAGACACACAGAGGTTTCTTAGTCTTGTCTAGTTTCTTACTCCCTTTCTATTTAGACTTGCAGAACATACTACTGTCTTGAACCCTTTAACATTGAAGGAATGTGATAAGGATTTCCTATACTAGTCTTCAAAGTTTCAATATGTGTTTAATACTATTAAGACTCTTACTATGTCTGTACAATACTTAATAGTTATTAACTACCTGAATCCTAGTAACAATAAGATCTATCTCTACACAGATGCCTTGAATCTCTATATAGGTACAGTTCTCTCCTTTAGGCCTTTACTAGACTTGGCTTATCCTGTTACTTATGACTCTACTCTCTTAAAGCCTATAGAGTGTAACTACTCAGTCTATAAGAAGGAATTGCTCACTATTGTAAAAGCTCTTAAAAAGTTCTGCTCTAACCTCCTAGGAACTACATTCACTGTATTCACAGATTATAAGACACTCACAAGTTTCCTTTCCTAGAGAGATCTCTTATACTAACAAGTATGTTAGTAAGAATTCCTAGCTTAATACATTTTTAATGTTTAATATGTGTCTGGTAAACAAAACAAAGCTACTAACACTCTGTCCAGACTTCTAGATAAGGATTTCTCCCCCTTTATAGTAGTATCCTCCTACCTTACAATCTCTGCAGATGAACAATTACTTCTTTAAATCCAATTGTTCTACAAAGATAACTTATTCTGTACTAAGCTCCTCTCTCAGCCTCTTAAATCCCTTAGTGTTTGAGTTAAGAATAGTCTACTGTTCTTAGGTGACAGGCTTGTTGTTCTACATGTTAATCAACTCTACAAACACTTCTACAAACTTACTCATAACTTTATAGGCCACTTTAGGATTGACAAGACTTATATAACACTAAAGTCATTATTCTACTAGCTAAACATGTGTTCTGACCTTGAAAATTTATACATTAAGTAGTATGACTTATGTTAGAGATATAAATTGTCTACTCAAAAACCTGCCAGTCCTTTACACTCTCTTACTATAACTAACTAGTATAGTAATACAATTACTATTAACTTTATAGGTCCTCTGTCTCTAGACCACAAGTTTAACAGAATTGTAACTATTACTAACTAACTTAGTAGTAACATTTGCCTACTCCCTATCTGTATAGGCCAAACTCCTGAAGAGTTTGCCTGTGTTTTCTTTGACAGATAGTATTGTGAAAACAGCCTTCCTCTCAACATTATCTTGGATCAGAATCACCTCTTTACCTCTAAGTTCTGGAAGGCTCTTTATAAAATTTCAGAGGTTAAACTAAAGATGTTTACAGCTTATTACTTACAAACAGATAGAATCTTAGAACATACAAACAAGTCAGTCATTCAGGCACTTTGATTCTATGTCAACTAACAATAAAAGGGCTAGTACTGTATACTACCTTGTGTTTAGTTCAAGCTTATAAATACTAAAAATGTGTTAACAGGATTTTCCCTCTTTCAACTTCACCTTAGCTAATGCCCCCATCTGATCCTACCTCTTGTACCCTTACTAGAAAACAAGCCTACCCTTCTAGAGGATGAGTAAGCTTGTTCTCTCATTTAGCAGCTTGATCTTAACATTACAGAAGTGTAGAACTCTCTCATCCTAGCTAAAACTTCTTAAGCTTATACTACAAACCAGAAGAGGAGTCCAGAAGACTCCTATACTCCTAGTGACTTTGTTATACTATCTACCTTCTATTAGTATCAAGATTACACTCAGAGTAGTAACAATTGTATAGCCAAATTCATACTAAGATAGGACAGTAAGTACTGTGTTCTTAAGGCTTTCCTAGACTACTCTACTTACTAGCTTGAATTGCCAAACTCTTACACTAAATTTTCTACCTTCCATACATCTCTACTCAAACAATACTATACAAATAATCCTATATTATACTCTACATGTAAACTTGTACAACCTCCTCCTGTCCTTACAGAGGAAGGACTCAAAGAGTAGGAAGTAGAAGCTATAATTGATCAACAAAGACAAGGACACAGCCTCCAATACCTTGTTTGCTAGAAAGGGTACAGTCTAAAAGACAATCTTTGGTTGTCTAAGCAGGAACTAGACAACTGTACAGTATTAGACTAATAGGAACAACAGTTATACACTAACTCTCATACATAGCCCTCCTCAATCCTCAATTTCCATTCTACAAAACACTTGTGGAGTGTGTTCAACTAATGCCTTCTCCTCTCTTATCTTCATCTTTGTATTCAACACATCTTTTCTCTTACCAGACATTCTCAATTTCCATTCTAATATATCCCTCCTTCTTCAATCCCTTCCCTGCCTTGCCTGTTCCTTATCCCCTATATTTATTCACACTCTCTTGCACCACTCTTCCCTTTCCCCTCTTTCTCTCTTCTTCCTGGTGGGGAAGAGTGTAACCTTGTGGAGGTTACACACAATCTGTTAGCCTCATCACATGACTTATCTTATAAATAGCTCTAAGACATTCCCAAGACTGTATCTCTTCTTGTACCTCCTTCAATACCAGTCAATTGCCCGTTCTGCAACCTGAGTGAGACATTGTCTCCAAATGAAGGCCAAACTTGGGATTGTCCACAGGTTAGACTGTTGAATGAAGATGAGTACTTTAATAATATTCTCAAGTAGTTTAATACCCAAATGAATTTAACCTGGAAATGTACAATTTATCAGTAATTATATTATAATATGTTTACAGGTCTCTATACCTCCTAGTCTAGTGTAATAACTAAGATATGCCTGTCAGCTTTGTGACAGTTTCAAAGATATTATATAACTCACTCGTGTCATAGAATACTATGGCAAAACTTGCTATTGCATGATACCTTGCAATGTTAAATGTAGAAATAAATAGTGTGTCAATGTGCTGAGCAATGGATGGAGTGTCAGAAAAAATCAGATTTTGAACGCGATCTAGAGGAGATGGCATGTTCTGTACTTCTGTAGCTCGATGTATTAGTTAGAGTCAGCCTCGTTACCTTTTTATACCTGCTATCTATTAATAGTTACAGTGAAGGGTCTAATGTAATACTTGTCTTGAGTCGGAGTGCTTAACGAGTGGGTAAACTCAAATAACATACGTTTCAGCTGTTCCTAGCAAAGGTAAACGACTTTCCTGTGATTTATTTACCAAGACGTTTCCAGTACTTAGCTATCTTCTTTACGCACTTTGCCTCCTTCCGAGCAGAAAGTGCTATGTCAACCATGTACTGCAACATTTAAGTTTCGACTTTATCATTGGGAAGTTCTTGGTTTAGAGGCTGTGAATGTATCCCGGCGGACATCATAGAGTCTCATACGGTGTGTATTTGATTTCCAGTTCTGTCAACTTAAAACACAACAAAACGCGAGGCTGTGAAGCAGAAGTCTACGGGTGTCATTTGGTTGGTTCAAGCCTTGCCGCTACAAACTGTTTATAGTGGAGAACTTCACTTAGTGTCCAGTTATCTGTGAAACTCAAGGTGCCTCCCAGTCCGGCATGCCGATGAATACTACTTAATAATCACCGATTGACCACGAAACCTCGAGTCTGAATCACTCCTCCTTCATCCGACGCAACCTTTGAAACATCCGAAGGATCCGAAGCAACTAAACCTAAACATCAAATATCAAAATGGTGTATACTGTACTGGATACTAAAGACAAGAGAGACAAGTAACAATGACATCTGACATGTAAACAGTAAGTACTTAAGTAACTGGTAAGTAGCAAACAGTTTGTGGTGTGGTAGAAGGTAGCGCTACGTCGGAATAGAAGTTAAAGAGTAAGATATACACTATTGGTGAAGGTATCAGCGCATAAAAGACAAAAGGAAAAGACGAAGATATGCCAATACGCACTGAGGAAGAAACGACGAGGAAAGAGAAAATAGAATAACATAGGATGTGGACAATGTTAAGAATAATATATGACAAGAGTGCTAGACGACTGTTAAAAAAACGAATTCGAAAATCGAGGGGAGGGGGTAAGTGAGACAACTGAGCTAGTCAGTGTACATCATGCTCTTTTTAGTAAGGAAGAAATCGAAGATCCATAGGACCATAGGGCGTCAAAACAGCAATAAAGGGCGCAGGGTGAGAATAAGTGTCTTGTTCAATTGCACGTCCATACCGAAATAAAAACGAAGCCTTCAAGAAAGGAAAACCTGCCAACAATGATAGTCATAAATATGTTTAATCTCAAGCACTGCTCTTCTTCGACTTCTTCTCTTTCTTGTTCTCCTTGTCTGCCTTTGTGCTTGCGGCAAGCTTCGCAGGAGTCGGTGCTGCAGTGCCCTTTTTCGAAGCGGTCTTCTTGGGTGTCCGCTTTGTGACAGGGGGAGCGGCTTCCGCGTCGTCGTCGTCGTCGTCTTCATCTGATGAAGATCCTTCGGAGCTTTCAACTTCTGACGAGCTCTCAGCTGCCTGCCCAACAGCGGCAGATACGGCAGCACCTGAAGAAGCTTCTGAGATTTCTTCGTCGTCTTCCTCTGCTTCCTCGTGTTCGGGTTCAGCTGCTGGTGGTGCAGCTGGTACAGGTGCGGGCACGGGCACGGAAGGAGCAACAGCGGTCACAGTCGGAACCGTTGGTGATACCTGCAGCGGGATTGTAGTAGCTTAGTAGAACGCTAATGACTGAGAACAGAATCAATGGACTGACAGCAGGACTTGCGCTTGGGTCTGCACCGTTCTGCTCAGTATGCGCTGCGTCATAGACAGCCTTGTCGGTCTCGAACTTAGCTCTCAATTTACTTGTCTCATCAACGTAAGGCTAGTAATAGTCTGGTCAGAAATCTATTCAAAGCGCAATTATGAAATAGTTTAGTTACCTTCTTCTGCTCGGGAGTCATCTTCGACCATCGCTCGGAGATCTTGTTGAGGACGTCATGGTACACCATGCCAGGGTTAATGCTCTTCATCTCATCGCGGACTTCATTCTGAAAGATAATGTATGCGCTTGGAGGTCGTCGAGGCGCATTAGGGTCCTTGGGTTTCTTCTCGCCGCGCTTGCGCCTCCGCTTACCATTCTCGTCTACCTCTGGCTCACCAGCAGGGTCTTGAGCACGGCGCTTGCGGCCGCGCGTAGGCGCTGAAATGGGAGCAGCCGTCCCGTTTGGCGCACTAGGTACAAGACTAACGGCGGGTGCTTGTCCGCCTGATTGAGGCGGCGTGAACAATTGGAACACGTTCTGCGCTGGAAGCGCATGTGAGGATGCCTGGGTAAAGTTGTTGAGGTAGGCGGCATAGTTGTCGACCATCATAGCGGTGTTGCGAAGATGTGCCCCACATTGTGCAAGTGCTTCAATAAGCTATCAGGATAAACAACGTGATTAGATCAAAATATTCCGAGGTAGAATTGAACATGTCTCGACCGCGGCCGGCGCTTAATTTGTACACCGCCGACGACGCGGAGGGCGACAGGGCAGAGGAAGAGAAGAAGACGTACCTGCTGACGTTGTGGATCGATGATTTTTTCGGACTGCATGATGGCTGTGTTGACGCGACGGGGACGCGACGCGTCTGATTGTGTGCTGTTGACAACTGGGGATGGGTGAAGTAAGAAAAGAAAGAGAAAGGGAAAAGTGAAGAGAAAAGCGACGCTGAAAACCGTGGGACTCGCCTATTTGTACACTTTTCCTTCATTAACTAAGCTCGCCTCAATACATTTCATTTGCATTCCTAGATTACTCTCCTATTGTTGCGTCCCTTGCCCCTATACATTTCGTACACTGCTAAGCACAGTCATAAGACCCGGTCCAATCCATTCACCCTTGACCGGGAATAACAAAGCCGGCCAATGTGAAACAATCTAAGACTAAGACGTGTGGTAACTGTAAGAAACCAACGAATGTAGTAAAGTAGTTGTGCTTCGCCAATATGATAACGTTAGTTGTACATTGTAACGCTGATTACAAACGTCACATGCGTGACATTTTCAAGCTCCGCCCGAACACCGCCTGTTTATTGACACCCTGTCCGTGGGTGCTGTCGACAGAGCCTTTTATGACCGACCACGACAGTGAACGACGACGGTGTCCACAGTGAAAAAAGGTGACATCCTTCATCGTCGTTCGTCGTAGAGCACATAAGCACCAACCTGTACAGTTTCTGCTCCTAAAAAGACTGTTCTAAAAGCAACAAAAAGTGAAAAGGGGCGAGAAATAGTCCCAGACTAACAGACGCAACACCCCTCCACGAAGTCGACGGAAAAAATGGATGCGTACTTTGCCAATGGCCACAGCTCTTGGCTGGCCAACCCCGGCCCCGATCAGCCGCAGACATCGTCGTCGCCTGGTCCGACACAAAATGGGAACGATGAATGGGCGAAGACGGGCATCGATTTGTCGGACTTTGGAGTTGGCCTCGGGGACCTGCAGGGTGAGCACGCCAAACAAATAAAAACAAAGAATCAGAGAAACCGACGAAAAACAATTCATGATAATTCTTGTTTATGTACCGTACATGCTGCATTGCGTGTCTGCGTGCCAACAGCCCCGAATTCCAGCCCGACAAATGCTGCGTCACTGCACAATATGTACCAGTTCCCAGTCAACGGGCCGTTCTTCTCGACAATGGCCCCGTTCAACATCCATCCGTACGGCCACTCACCCCCTCCATCGGGGTGGCCTTCACAGAATCTTCCACTCTCGTCATATTCAACACTCAATGGCGCAACGACCACTGTAGGCTCCAGTCAGCAACAGCAGCAACAAGTATCGAGTCAGCCACCAGCGTCAGCACAGCAACCAATGATCGAGTGGGTATCCGTGCCACCCGCCGCCCTAAATACGCTCATGCTAATTTCTTCTTCCTTTCACCGTCCGCAGTCCGGCGTTAACTTCCGCAAGTAGCGCCCCGTCATATTCCCCGCCGCCTCCATCCGCTTCTCAGGGTGCTCAACATAGCTCAACGATACAATTCAACAACGTATTTCATCATCATCAACAGCAACCTCAAGTCCCCCACTCGCCTACAATACATCAGATGTCGTCTGCCTACCTCATGCATCAACAGCAGCAACAACAACAACAGCGGACATTGAACCCTCAACAATTGACCATGCCATATTCATACGTCTATCCCATTCAGCAGCACCACGTTCAATCTCCCATGCAGACAAACCTTACTGCTACTTCTTCACATACATCCACTCCTCCTCCCGCTTCTAGCTCTATTTCTTCAAACTCCACCGTCCCTCCCGCTTCTGCCTCCGTATCTGTTCCCGTAGCCTCTGATCCCTTGGTTTTTAAGCAAAAACTTGATCGATTACTTACCTCCTCTGCACTGTCTGATGCAAACACAGTGCACCGATTAATGGATGCCATTGCGGATCACGGCAATGCGAATGTGACTCCGGAAATGCGGGCAGAACTTGCCAGCCGCATTCGAGATGGTGCAGGGAATGCCTTTTTTGCAGCATGGGCGCGTGATGCGAAGGCGATGGCATTGCTTTTGAACTGGCTCAAAGCTGGTGTTACTGGTAAAGATGAGGGACGCTGGGATAGTACTGTAATGCCACTCTTGCACGTTAGTTATAAATCGCATTTAATCTACTTGAGTTCTGCTAATGCATATTACGGTTTCATAGGTGCTTGATCGATTGCCACTCACGATAAGTCTCTTGAAAGAGCATAGGCCGGGTAAACTGACCAATGCACTACTAAAATCGGATACTGTATCTCCTGGTGAGTTATGCATTTTTCTACTGCGCCTCTTAAAGTATGTCCAGTGTGTGAGGAAAGTAGACACAACGTTCCACAAGTGGGGCTGCCCTGGTAAACAGTTTGGATTTGTACGAACAAATGCCCTGTTTTCTTCTCATCATGCTCGTACCTCGCCTATTTATCCAATTTTGAATACGAAATTAAGAAAAGAAATGTATCTAACTGTTTGCTCTTGGCACGTTCCCTCTCTTCTATCACAGCGATCAAAGATATGGCTTCGAATATCGCAAATAAATGGCGAACTCTAATTGAACCGAGCTCTGGTGGCAGCACGAAGGACAAGGATGCATCCTCGTCCTCTGCGGCAGTGAAAAAGGTCGAGATAGAGGGTGGGTCACGCCAGTTCTTCGTCTGATTGGCTAGTGATGGCTAAACTCTAATTTATTTTTATCATGCTTAATCCGAATTACCTTTGTCTTTGTGTTTGTTCGATAATTAATTCATGACAAATAGACAAAACAAAGAAAAGAAAGTTGGCCGATGGAGCGCCGAAGCCGCCGTCGAAGGTTGCTGTTGTTTCGTCCGCAGCGAACTCGGCGAACGCTGCACGGTCGGCGGTGAAGGTGAAGAAGGAGAAGGTGGTCGTAACGGCAGTGAAGGACGCCAAAGCAGATGCATCATTCTTTTCTGCGCCGAAACCGAAACCGCGATTACCGAGCTTCAAGAAAGCGCCAGCGCCGGCAACGACATCCAACATGGCGCCTGGCGGAACGAGCTCAAGTGCGACTGTGGCACAGCCAAGCCAAGTGAACGCATTTGAACAGGCGCTCAAAGAGATGAAAGGGCGTGCGACTGCTGTTCCGATCCCCCCTGTCGCGAGTAAGAGTGATAGCTCAAGCACGGAATCAAGCACTGTTACGAAAGCATCCACACCGGATCCTCTTAAGAACGCCAAGAAGCGGAAATCCGTGTCATGGGCTCCTGAAGGCCACCTCGAGAAGGTGAGGATCATTGAAAAGGCCGTGTATGATGACGATCCTGCCGATGTATGTGTCCTTTCTTCGCATTCGCCCCTTTGTTCCCTAGAGGCTCACAGTTGGCTTGTGCCATTAATTGCAGGCTACGCATGGAGCACATAGCATCCGCGATTTAGAGCGTGCTGAGGGTGCTGCGATGCATTTCCATCTATTTGAGGAAGTAATCGATTGGTATAAACCCCAAGGTGAGTTTCTTGGTCCCTCATTGTTGCAATGCATTGATTTACTTTAACACCATTACAGACATTGAATTCCCTTCGGATATCGATTCAACGGAAAGAGGAGGTCAGAGTGAGGAAAAATCAGTTCAGGAAGAGCGGGAAAAGAATACACTCCGTGCTGACTATTACGCCGAGGACCAAATTCCCGAGACGCCGGGCGAGCCTCTCTCGCAGATAGCCCTTGAACAGGTAGACACAGAAGCACGGACGATGGTAGTCGGTGCGGACATTCAGCCTTTCTTCCAACATGCTATGAGTGTAGCGGATCTCGTCGGACAGCTTGCTGCAAACACTAACAGCACATCAGCTGGTGGTGCATATGGAAATGTAGATGGTTCTACTGCTCAGATTAGCGATGGGGACGTCACTATGAGCAATGTTAACAATGCATTAGGAGTCAGTGGAGGCTTTGATCTCAGCAAGTTGGATCCGAATGCACTCAGCAACCTTGCTGCATCACTCGGGTTGACCGGCTTTAATTTTGCTGGCGGAGCTGGCGCCGCCGTCACCCAAGAAAGTAATAATGCTTACTCAGCATCAAACGCTCCTTCATGGGGAGGCTATACTCAGCAACAGTCCTACGCCGACTCAAGCTACCAACATGAGGAACGAGAGCGTGATGAACGCAGTGGACGCGGAGGCATGCGTGGACGAGGCCGAGGAGGGCGGGGGCGTGGAGTCGGAGGCGAGTTTAAAAGTAGACGACGATGCAATTACTATGCACAAGGAAGGCGAGCATCTAATCCCATTCTCTTCTTTGTGTGAATCCTGTGTGTGGAATGCTCTTGACTAATACCGTTCCTCGTGATTGTGATTGAATAGCTGCCGATTTGGTGAAGCGTGTCATTTTCTTCATGAAGGTCCGCCGGCCGGTCAACAAGGCTATTATGATTAGTCAGCGGCCGTCGCCGCGAGCGCCGAACCGAGTCTTCTATTTTAGTAACTCCATCAATAGCGTCGAAGGTCGAGGTGGCGCGGGTAAACGCCGCATTCTTTTTGAGTAGGCTCTCTTAACCACTTCCGTGTTTATTCCATACAAGGTCGATTCTTTAGGGATTTTACGCGACATGCAATTAATTCTTTTTATATTTTATTCTCTCGATCATTCTACACTTTATACTTCCATTTTTGCACGCATGCTTGGAGCACTTGTCATTTCAAACACACATATTTGTTCTTTATTTCATGTATATTTCCCCCTCTCTTTTCTTCCTCCGAATCGAACCCTTTAACATCGCACATTTCAACGTTTGACAATCCAATATCCGACATAATGCATCTGTACCTTCAACTCAATTTCATTGTTGTTTGCATACATTATTAATACTGCTTCGTGCTCCTTCCCTCTTCTCAGCAGTTAGTACCACTCTTTTTTGTTGGTGGTGAACATACACAGTAGAAACAGGGATTCATTATACTGTACGTAGTGTATAGAGCTGTGTTTCAAGGAGAAACATATATTTTCTTACTTTTACTAATATTTCTTGTGTGTTCTACTTGTATACATGACAGAAGAAACTTGATTGTCTCTGAGTACTATAAAATGAAAAAGACTTGTCTATTTATAATACCCACAACATGCTTCACTAAACAAAAGAATAATATATAATACTAACTTAAATAATATAATGAAATAGTAGAGAGTACTAGAATAATTTGTTGTCTAACAATAGTAGCAAACATAATAGTACAGGACTCAAGAGTATCTAATTAGTACACTCTCAAACTATAAGATGTTTACCACTATGCTTGTATCAGGAAAAAGTCCATTTAAATATAATGAATTACAGTCCATTTAAAGAAATATTAGCATTTTATATACATTGTAATTCATATGTAAGGGTTAGAACACAACTATAAGGATAAAATAAAGTATATTAATGTATATAAAGACTCTAAGAGTGTTATAAATTATTACAATTTATTGAATACATTATAATAACCTTACATTATAAGCTAAAGTATTATACTTAGATTATAACTTTGAAGACAGACTAAAATTCACCTTGTGTAAGACTTTATATTGTTTGTATAAGGTATTCAGATACTTGTAAAAACTATATTAATGTGTTAAAAAGTAATATAGACATGTCAGATTACTATCAACTATATTATAAAGTAAAATAGTTCTTTCCTTTTACATTTAAATATAAGATTGGTTTTGTTTTACAGCTTTACTAATATCATGAACATTGATTACATAATCAACACTGAAGATTGAGAGTATATAATAATACAATTACAGTTGTTACTCTTTCTCTCCAACCTCTACCATTTCTCTAAGTCTAACCCTCTACCCTAACACTATGTTGTTACTTTTGTTCTCTCTAGCCTAGTCCTCTACTTACAAGTGTTCTCTAGCAGGTACTCTGATTGTAACAACACAGACAATAAACATTACTATAGCTTGTCTCTCTAATCTACTGTTACAGTACCTGTACAGAGTCTTAAATTGTATGTTATACTACTAAGCTAACTATACTGTCCTTTAATGTAAAGTAGTAAGCATTCAGTCTACTTTATAATAGACTATACAATAGTTGCTCATCCCTCTCCTCCTAACTTTTGTCTCCCTTCTATTCCTTCTGCTCCTTGTCCTACTACTTGTATTGCCTCCCCTTTATTGTCCTCCTTTTTTTACATTTGTCTCCCTTTTTGAATTCACATTCACACATCTGTATTGTTAACTAATACTGAACAACTTCTCTAGTAACTCTATATATTTGTGTACTTCTTCCTACTCTATAGTACAAGTAAGAATTGACAAGTATATACAAGTATACTTATAACAATGTTCATGTACAACTACTCCTATTATACTACCCTCTCCCTAACACTGTATGTGTTCTACTCCTTCATACATTCTATGTTTAACATTACTCTTAACAGGTTTGCCTTAAGCACATTTACATTCCTTAGTACTATCTATAACACTATTCAAATAAGGTAAGTAGTAACTATTACTTACTCCTCCTAAGCTGAGTCTGTTCATATTACCCACTTTACTCTCTCCCTTTAAGCCAGAATGTTCTAGAGATACACTTTTACAATTTGTCAGTAACAGTGTAGAGGGGACCTAAAGGCTTAGTGAGGGGACCCAGGCTACAACTATCCTACACAACAGAAATACAGAATACAAGTACTAGAATGTAGTTAGAACTTGCAGAACAGACAGAGAGAGAGAGTGAGACAAGAGTAGAGTATATAGAGTAAGCTTAAGAGTACAGGACTACCTAGAGTAGACAAGATCAAGACTACAGGACTAGTCTGATCTTGTACACTTATATATACTAAACTATACAAGAGTACTCAGAGAGTATGAGCTACTAAGAATAATGAGCTACAAAGAATGAAAGAAAGAAAGGTCAAAGATAAAGGTACAAAGAATGAAGGGATAGACAAAGGGTAAGAGACTATAGAATGAACAAAGAATGAAGGGGTGGTCAAAGGAATAGAATGATAAAGTAAGGAAGGGTAGTAGTAAGAGTTAGTATGTATATAGTTTATAAACAGTGTCCCTGAGAGACAGAAGTCCTGAGTTCTAGTACAGAAGGGTGTAAAACCCTTAGAACTGAAAGTACAAGAGTAGAGAACTGTAACATCACCCCTCCTCTAAAACCAATTGTCCTAATTGGTAAACATTAGACTTAGTCAGCAGCTTAAGTATAGGACAGAACAGTAGGGCTTGGAAATCTGTAAGGCTGAGTTTGTACATAGTACTAGGATGAAGCTGATAGAAATCTCAGATTGTCTTAAAAGTATAAGCAAGGTTCTTGACAGGTTCCTAAGTGTACTCCTCAACTGGGTACCCTTTCTAGTAAACAAGGAATTTGAGTTTTCTATATAGTAGCTTAGTATCTACTATGTACTCTACTTTGTATTCTAGTTTAGAGCTAATAAGTTCTGGTAAAGGTAGTAAGGGTCTTTGTTGTGAAGGAAAACTAGGATTATAGTACTAAGACAACAGAACCTTGTTAAACACTAGGTGTATATACTTCTATGTTGCTAGAAGTTAGAGTTTGTAGGTAGAGGTACTAACCTTCTTTTTAATAATGAAGGGTCTAAAGCACTTATTGTCCAACTTCTTCATTAGGCAATCTAAGGTCAGATTAGTAGCTTCTAGTATAACTTTGTTACTAGGCTAGTAATCCTTAATTACAAACCTCTTCTAATTATAGTTCTACTTTATAACCTGTACTACCTTCTTTAAAAGAGCTTGTGTGTCCTCCCTAGTCCTGTACATCTGTTCTGTAAAGTCTGTTGTAGATTCAGAACTACTGTTCTAATTTAGAACTGTCCTCTAGTACAAATGTCTCTTATGATTAAGGAAGAACAGGGACTGTCCTATTATAGAGTGTTACTAATTATTGTGTACAAATTCTGTCAGAGCTAACTATTCAGACCAATCTAATTACTAATAATTGATAAACATTTAGAGGTAGAGCTTGATCTCCTGATTGACTTACTCAGTTTGACTGTTAGTCTGTAGGTAATATGTAGTAGAAGGGTTCTCTTAAATTCTAAGAAGTACATACAAGTCCTGTATGAATTTTGACTCAAATTGTAGTCTGTAATTGTGAATGAGCTTCTAAGAGAGTCTGTACAACTAGAAGACATGATCCTAATAAATGTGTACTATACTTTCAGAAGTAAGTTCTGTTCAGGTTGGAACTGTGTAGACTTGCTTAGAGAATCAGTTAACAATTATACAGATAGTGTTGTAACTCTGAGACTTAAGTAGTTTACTAATCAGGTCCACTAAGACTTCTTCCTAAAAGTAATCTAGAATCTAATACAGATGTAGGGGAGCTCAAACCCTTGTCTGGTAGGTCTTAGTCTGTTAGCACATATTGTAACTAGTTATGTACTTTAGGATTTCCCTCTATATTCCTAACTACTAGTAGTTCTGAGTAATGAGTTCCTGTGTTTTGTGTTAGCTTAGATGTTCTACAGTCAGATTGTTGTAATAAGCTCAGACAATGTCCTCCTACAGCTTCTGATCCTTCAGAATGTACAGTTAGCCTTCCTAGTAAACCTGTCTATCCTTATCCTCCTTCTAATCCTTAACCTACTTCTCTAGCTACTTTACTATAACCTGGTCCTGTGTATGTCTTAGAGCTTACTGTATGTAGGTAATAAAGTCAACATTCTTGGATTTGAGTCAGATCTCTTAGATTGTCTTAGACACAAAACAGGAATTGTTTAGGAGAACAAGGTTTTTGTTATCATTCTCCCTCCTTTCATAACCTACTTGTCTTGAGAGTAAATCAGCTTTTATTATTTGTGTTCTAAGTTTGTGAGTCAGTACAAAGTTATAGTCCTGTAGTTCTAACATCTAGTAGGCTTAGTAGTAGTTGAGCTTCTGAGGCACTCAGAAGTACTAGAGATTAAGGTGATTACTCTAAATCTCAAACTTCTATACAGTACTAAGGAGATATTAATACTACTCCTCTAGGGAACAGACAATTGTAAAGAGTTTCTTATTATAAATAGGGTAGTTCTGTTCTGTTACAGAGAGGGATTCTAATTGGAACACTATTAGACACTACTTTCTATCAATAAACTAGGACAGTACTACTCTATTTGTAAAGTTAGAAGGGTTAGCTTTAACTCAGAACTTGTTTGTAACTGTCAGAACTGTTAATACAGGCTTGCTAATAATAGCCTACTTGAGAGACTCAAACACAGACTACTACTAATTATCCTATTACTAAGAAACATCTTTGCTAGTAAGATTATGAAGGGGCCAGGTAATGGTACTAAAGTCTTGAATAAAGTGTTAGTAATAGTTTGCAAACTTAAGGAACACTTAGACCTGTTTCAGGTTTTAAGGTTGTAGCCAGTTCTAAACTGTAGTTACCTTTGCTGGATCCATACAGACCTCTCCTCTACTGATTATGAAGCTTAGATAATCTACTGACTCCTATACAAAAGAGTACTTTACTTCTTAGAGGAATAGTTTATTATCTTAGAGCTATTGTAGAACTGCTCAGATTAGTTAGTAATAGTGCTCAACTGTCTGAGTGAAGATCAGAATGTTATCTAAATATACACTAACATGCTTTAAGTTAATCAGATCTGTAAGAATGTGATTCATGAATAACTAGAATGTTACAGACAAGTTAGTTAGTCTGAAGAACATTATGGTTGGTTTATACAATCTGTAATTGGTTCAGAACACAGTCTTCTACTTATCTTTGTCCTAGATCCAAATATTATTGTATTCTTATTAAACATTCAACTTA